TTTAGTTTCCGATGAAGGATCGTCTTCCTCCGTCCATCTACGTTCCGCCGCACCAGCGCCTCGCCTTTGAACCTCTTCCTCTCTCCCACTCGCCCATTCGCTATATCTCCGCCTATGATGACCGCCTTTCCGAGGAACCTAGTTCTGACCCCGAGCCAGTAATCTCTTTTTCTTTTCATCTTTGATGGTTTGAATTGGTGTCTAGTAGCTTTTCTTGAGTTATCTTCCTTTTCCAAATGTCCCCTCTCTTCTTGTTTACTTTGCAGGTTGCATTTCATTCTGCCAACTTGGCTGAATGGTCAAGAATCTTTTCTATGCTTTTACGTGATTCTGTGAAGCAAGAAATTCTTTCCAGGGAGAAAAAGGATCGAAGGGATTTTGATCAACTTAAGGCACTTGCTACAAGCCTCGGATTGTATAGGTAACTACCCTCTACATCAGTCGCCGTTGCTTGTTTCTCACAAGAAAAGAAAACTTCTTTATAGAAATCTCTTTTTTTCAGTCATGCATATGCTAAGGTTATTGTGTTCAGTAAGATCCCACTCCCAAACTATAGGTTTGATCTAGATGACAAGAGGCCACTCAGGGAGGTAATCTCTGCTCTCTCCTTGGAATTTCACAAGACCCTTATCTAGTTATCTTTCTTGCGTTTTCTTAATAGAGCTAAAATATACAATTTGTCAGTTGAATTTGCACACGGACCTTCTTAAAAGAGTTGAAGCTTACCTCAGAGAATACCTCAGTAAAAGGATGGATAGAGTCCCTGCCAATCCTTTCTCAAGAACTAGTAGCACAAGCAGTATCGCTACGGATGAAGGGCTTCTTGAGCAACCAGAGCCCATGGCTGCCAACAAGACAACCCTGGACCAGATTCTTTGGCAAAGAAGCTTACAGCTGCGTGATAGACAAAAATATTGGGAGGTTCGGTATAATCATCTATTTCTTTGAATTAGCTTCTTAAAATATTTAACTTACTGTTTTCCCCCTATGCCTTTTCATTAACCTGTAAATTTCCATGTCATTCATTGATTAGGAATCGGTAGAAGGTCGAAGAATGCTGGAATCTCGCACAAGTCTCCCTGCTTTCAAGCAGAGGGATTCAGTATTGACAGCAATTTCACAAAATCAGGTCTGCAAAACATAGAATTGGAGGCACGCTTGTGCCCAGATGTGTGACATCTGTGTCAAGTAGAAATCGAATATCAATTTGACAGCGTAACCCACATAATTTTCGTATTACAGGTTATTGTTATCTCTGGAGAAACAGGTTGTGGCAAGACCACACAAATTCCACAGTTTATTTTAGAATCTGAGATTGAAGCAAACCGTGGAGCTTTCTGCAGTATCATATGTACTCAACCAAGGAGAATATCTGCTATGTCTGTATCGGAGAGGGTCGCTTACGAAAGAGGAGAGCAGTTGGGTGAATCCGTGAGTTTCACCCTGCCTGCTCCTATATCTAGTTTGTTTGGAGCCTTATGCTTTAAATTCTCCACTTCATTTGCTGATTAAGATATCTTCCTCTTCTTTTTTTTTTCCGTAATTTCCGTGAAGGTTGGATATAAAGTTCGATTGGAAGGTGTTAAAGGAAGAGATACTCGCCTACTCTTTTGCACCACAGGCATTTTGTTGAGAAGGTTGCTGGTAGATAGAAATTTAAGAGGAGTTACTCATGTTATTGTGGATGAAATTCACGAGCGTGGAATGAATGAAGGTATACTTGTGTTAACATGCAGCTCCCCATTTGAGCTTAACTGGAATGCAATTTCTTACTATATTAATTTTGTTTTCTAGATTTCCTGCTTATCATTCTTAAAGATCTCCTTTCTCGTCGCCCAGAGCTTAAGCTGATTCTGATGAGTGCATCTTTAGATGCTGAGCTTTTCTCATCATACTTTGGTGGGGCAGGTGTAATTCACATTCCGGTAAGTAGGAAATATAATATACAAGTGAGGAGGTTGTTTGAAGGAAATGATTATTTGACCTTTATGGATGAATATTTGGTGTCCCTCGTTGGAACATTTTAAATACTGTTGATCTTTTGCTGATTCGGCATTGATTGATCTATTTTCTCTGACTAACCTCACTAATTCTACTAATATACTTCTATTTTCTTGCTCACGATAGGGCTTTACATATCCGGTTCGTAGTCATTTCCTAGAGGATGTTCTGGAGATAACCGGGTACAGATTGACTCCTTTCAATCAAACTGATGATTATGGTCAAGAAAGAATGTGGAAGATGAACAAACATATCCCAAGAAAACGGAAGAGCCAAATTGCCTCTGTCGTCGAGGTATCAGGAAAAGATTATTGGTATACTCGATTTAGTTGGTTTAGGTCCTCATTTCTATTTCCCTTACGTAAGCAGGATGCACTGAGAGCAGCTGACTTCAAGGAGTTTAGCCCCGAGACTCGAGAATCTTTATCTTGTTGGAATCCTGATTGCATTGGTTTTAATCTCATAGAATTTCTCCTATGCTATATATGTGAGAATGAGAGTCCTGGTGGTATTTTAGTTTTTATGACGGGATGGGATGATATCAGCTCTCTGAAAGAAAAACTCCAGATTCATCCAATCTTTGGCAATCCAGACCGAGTTATGTTGCTTGCCTGCCATGGTTCTATGGCAAGTTTTGAGCAGGTGATTTATAAATTTTTCTCCTTATTACAACCTGCATCATGTGCTAGTGTTTTGTTAGAATATAAATATTCTAGTCGCCCCTGTGAATTGTAGTCTGCACTGTAGAATGATCGTTTGAAGAAAATTCGAATTCATCAGCTGTAGAGCTGTTACCGTTTTCTTCTCTTTTTTCTTTCTCCGTTTTTTTTTGCAACTGGAACATGTGTACATGAGAACGTATTTATCATTTACTGTATACTTTATTTTGAGTAACTGCAGAGGTTAATATTTGAAGAACCTGCAAGTGGAGTAAGAAAGATAGTTCTAGCCACTAATATCGCAGAAACGAGCATCACGATCAATGATGTTGCCTTTGTCATTGACTGTGGGAAGGCAAAAGAGACATCCTATGATGCATTGAATAATACCCCTTGCTTGCTCCCTTCTTGGATTTCGAAGGTTTCAGCTCAGCAGGTATTGCTAATAAGACTACGGAGCCATCTCCTCATAGATTCATAATAGGAGTGACCATTAGTCAATCTTATATAGACGCTGATCTAATAGCTATTAGATGTTTGTGTTATGCGTAGTTGCATTTCAAATACACTGGATTACTAGAATTGAGCATACTATCCATTGCCAACAATCTTAATTGTCTTACTGCTCAGCGGGCTTACAGTTAGTGATCTTTATTGTTGATTCTCATGCCCTGTTTATTTTTGCAGAGAAGAGGAAGAGCCGGTCGTGTTCAACCTGGACAGTGTTATCATCTGTACCCAAAGTGTGTATATGATGCTTTTGCAGAATATCAGTTGCCTGAAATTTTGAGGACGCCTTTGCAGTCATTGTGTCTGCAAATCAAAATTTTAAATCTCGGAAGCATATCTGAGTTCTTATCAAGGGCTCTGCAATCTCCTGAACTACTAGCGGTATGACTTATTTGTTTAATTCGTTTGCTAGATTTTCTGATTTAGAACTTTACTCATGTAAAGGTGTTATATTTAAACCGACCTGCCCGTAGTCAATGAAACAGTAATATTAGCAGTCTTTTATCTTGTGCTTCATGTTAGGTTTCTACAACTTTGTCCGTAGGTTCAAAAGGCCATTGAATATCTGAAGATAATAGGGGCATTGGATGAGAATGAATACCTCACAACACTAGGTAAGAGGAAAGATGCTATGTTTCATCTTAATCATGACAGTTTTGAGTAGCAGGATCGCAGTTTATCTCATGTGGCTGAAATTCTTTGCAGGTCGTTATTTGTCCAAGCTTCCCATGGAGCCAAAGCTTGGGAAAATGCTCATACTAGGAGCTATTCTTGGTTGCCTTGATCCCATATTGACTGTTGCAGCTGGCCTGAGTGTGAGAGATCCTTTCTTGACACCTCTGGACAAGAAAGATGTAAGTTCTTCTCCCATCATGTATAAAACTAATTTATACCATTTATGGTCTCGTGGTATGCCCGTGCAATCCCCTTCATCCACGGTTCATTAACACATCATACATCTGGCTGGAAAAGATGAAACTTAACTTATGTAGTTATTACCTTGAGTTAATTACAGTAATACTCTTCATTAGCATTTATGTATCTCTGTCTCTGTGTTAGTCAAGGTGACTTGACCAACGATCTTTTTCATTCCCCCTTTTTCTTTATAGACGTAGATTTTACCCACAGACCTGTTGTCTTGAAATCAGATGGTATGAGGAATTTCTTGTCCTCTGAAGATCCGTAAGATATGATGTTTTGTTTTCATCTTTCCCAGCTTGCAGAAGCCGCAAAGTCCAAGTTTTCACGCGATCACAGTGATCATCTTGCACTTATTCGGGCATATGAGGGGTGGAAAAAAGCTGAGGAAGAGTCTGCTGTATATGATTACTGCTGGAAAAACTTTCTCTCAGTACAGTCGATGAGAGCTATTGACTCTCTCCGAAAAGAATTCTTCTCATTACTCAAAGATACCGGACTAATAGATGGAAACCCAGCGACCTGCAATTCAGGGGGGAATGATGAGAATCTTACCCGAGCAGTTATTTGCTATGGATTGTATCCAGGAATCTGCTCGGTTGTGGTGAGTACATCTCCTGAACTTCTCTGTCCTGTAGTGGCCTCTCTCTATTTAGCAGTTTGCTTTATTGAGGACTTTTTTAACACATGCAGCATAATGAGAGATCATTTTCCCTGAAGACTATGGAGGATGGCCAAGTTCTTCTTTCTTCAGTATGCGCCCGTCTAGTCAAATTTAATGATAGTATACCTAACATTACTGGTTGGTTGGAAATTTGTTACATTCAATTTATTTTTTCCACAGAATTCTGTAAATGCAAGGGAAACAAAAATACCATATCCGTGGTTGGTTTTCAACGAGAAGATAAAAGTAAACTCTGTTTTCTTGAGAGATTCAACAGCTGTCTCTGACTCTGCGCTTATCCTCTTTGGGGGTACCATTTCGAAAGGAGACACTGTGAGCTTCTCTCTGTCTCTATCGTTCTTGCTGATACTTGTTTCTTGTTGTCAGCAATATCATAGCCAACCTCTTGTTTTGGTTTTTGTTTTTTGGGCAGGATGGCAACCTGAAATTGTTGGGAGGATACTTGGAGTTTTTCATGAAACCTGCTGTTGCAGAGATATACCAAACGTTGAAGAAAGAGCTCGACGAGCTGATACAGAGCAAAGTGAGTTTCATAAAATCTCAAAACTACCCAGCTCTATTGTTCTGTTATTCTCCCAGTTATCTGAGTAATGAGAACTTTTTTTTATAACATTCCAGCTACTTAATCCTAAAATGGACATGCAAGCACACCGTGAACTCTTATCGGCTATTCGGTCATTGCTCTCTGAGGATGGATGTGAGGGAAGATTTGTGTTTGGTCGCCAAGTACGTCGGCCTATAGAAACGTCGGCGGTGTCAACACAAGCGACATCGGTTTCAAGGACTGAAAGTGGGCCAGGGGGTGACAATTCCAAGAGTCAGCTCCAAACAATACTCACTAGGGCGGGTAATGCAGCACCGATGTATAAGACAAAGCAATTGAAGAACAACAAGTTCCAAACAACAGTAGAGTTTAATGAGACACAGATCATGGGGCAGCCTTGCAGCAACAAGAAGAGTGCTGAGAAGGATGCTGCAGCTGAAGCTATACAATGGCTGATGGGTGGGGCTAAGGAAAGCCATGATCACGTGAATCATATGTCAAAGTTGCTGAAGAAAAGCAAGAAGGATCACCTCTGATTACTTTGCTGAGACTAGTGCCCTGTGAAAGACAAAAAGAAGAAGGGATTTTTTATGGAGTCCATATTTTCCCTGGGCGAGCCTGAAAGCAAAAAGTGGGAAGAAGAAGGATCGACTTGGAGCATCTCCTTGTGGTATGCGACCAGATGGGGTTGAAGGGATGTAGATACTCATAATATGGCACATAAAAGGTGGAGCTCGAGAGTAATCACAATTGGTGCAAGACTGCAAGTGCAC